TAGGGATGTAGTTAATAAACAGTGCACAGACGAGGCAAATGTTTGCAGATAATGATCTGTTATCGTAAAGAAATATTAACAATTGCATAAATGGACTCGGTTGGGTACAATCGATGGATAACAATATAAAGATTCTTGTCAAAAGAGATTTTCAAGACCATTAATTTTCCTTTTTTGTTCCCATTGTGGAAAATAAATATTGCATTATATTCGCAGCTCAGAGTCGCAAATTTCGCATGATTCGTTTTACTTTATGTGGAGAAAATGATATTGATTTTGCATCATATCTGCTCGGTCGTTGCCCTAGTATAGCAGGTGTATAGTAACATTTGTTGAATAGAAATATTATTGTTCGATAAGGGATTTGGGAGCCTTTTATGAATGCCGCAGCCAAGCCATTTCTTCCCTTTCTTTAGTGTTTCACTCAAAAATATTTTATCAGGAAAGAAGATCTACAGTAGCTCAAGATTTTCTTCAAGATGGTTTAGATAATTTAGAATGTATGACACTTCCAAATTAAATGACCTGTATAACAAGCAGAATCTACAGTCAAACTGATGGATGGTTCTTCCGGAGGTACAAACTAAGCTTGAATGTGGTATTGATCTATATCTTTCTAGTGCCAACTGGTCGGTTCGGGGAAGTACAATGTCTGCACAATGAGCCTACAATAGGCTCTGTACTTAAGCTGCTCCGTACACTGCCATCTAGGCTCTGTTCAAGGCTTTAGGAATTGTGTTAAAGTGTCACATTAGAGTCTGTGCCGGCAGACTTGGTTCGGGGGGGGGGGGGGGCGTGTAGGGTCTATTTGCAGTAGGAAATGGCATTTTAAAGAGAATCTCAAGTATAATATGCACTGCATTACGTGCCTTATTTATAAATACATAATGTTGCCATTAACAGTTTAAAGTTCGACGCATAACTAATTTTGATGCACATGATTGTGGAAAAGACTGTGATCATAAACACATATTTTCATAATACGGTAATTTTTGTATCGTTTATTTATCATTAGCCCTGTCGAACGAGCGATCTTTAAAAAAAACCATAAACAATAATATGATGTACATGTAATTATCCGGCTCGTCATTTTCACAGTTGTTTGTTTTAGATTAGTTATATCCATTTGAAGTATATCAATATCGATAACAAAGATATTGCATTTGTTTGAATTCTGATTCAAACTTCGCAAGCAAGTGATCTTTGGAAACAAATATGAACATTTATTATGACTGCAATGAAATCGTGGATCAGATAATTATGAGGTACTTAAGCATGTGCGAAGATGCATAATTGTGTTATGTGAAGGGTGGCTTAGATAATATACATCATAATATTTTAGACAACAAGTTAAAAGTTATATACTTGCATGGGAGGTAGTCATACAAATGCTGATATTGTTTTTTAAGTGAGTTTTAGGCAAGAAATGGAAGTATGTGAATAAGTTCCTTAACACTATACCAACCTCAACAAATGTTTAGTCAAGCTGTGCATTCACTTCTTTTCCATTCATTGTCCAATGCTTTCAGAAGTAAATTCGATTTCAATAGACTTATATTGTACAAATAAGTAAATATTTACTGTTGCGAATTGGCATGCCTTATCCTTGCCGTGGGTTGATCGAAATGCCTCATTTTGTTCGAGTCTGCCTCAGTTAACACCTAGAAGCCCTAATCCAAACAGAAATCTCGAAAAATGAGGAAAGTTGTGACAATATTTCAACAGCTTTTGTATACATGTTGAACTTTAGAGGCCCCAAGGGAGAAGGTGTGTGCAGCCGTTTCTGAAAATGACGATTTGATCGAGAGGTCATTACTTTCCATTCATGCTGTCCATATTAAGATTTTAAAGTAATATCTGTGTCCAAAAGTTGCGAGAGAAATGAGAAGCTGTAACCTAGACCAATATCAATAATATCCACGATATCAGTGATAGTATACTCGAGAAGCTCATCTTCAATCTGTTAAACACAAATTGACATTACTATTACCGAAAACATTCTGGATTTAGACCAACCAGGGATTTGTGATAATCACAAATCCCTGGACCAACACTAAGCAGCGACATCTCGACTGAATGTTACAGAAGGTAGATTGGCTGAACATGGGATAGTATGGATAAAGTTCACATTGTTGTTATGGCAACGTTATACTTTCAGAAGGAATTTGATCCGTTTGAACATATTGTACTCCTTGATAAGCTTATGTTTAACAGCTTGTCAATCAGCAAAGACTTTTCACGTGGTTTATATAAAGATCATCGTCTTAAATTATATATAATAGAGAGAGAGAGGGAGAGAGAGAGAGAGAGAGAGAGAGAGAGGGGGATGGGAGAGGGCGGCTGAGCCGCTAAAGATATAAAAAGCGGCAGATCCATAGTATGGGCGCGCAAGAGGCATGCACACATGGGGGGGGGGGTCCCATAACATGCAATTTTAAAATTTGGCGCTCCGCCGCCCCCTTCGCAACCATCTCAAAATCCTAGATATACCACTAGTCAAAACGAGTTGAAATGTGCAAAGTCTAACCATGGACCTACTGCCCACAGTCTAACCGTGCTACAATAACGCGGTCAAATACATGCAGGAATAGTAGTGATACAGTAACTCCCGATACAGAGGGGGGGGGGGGGGGGGGGGGGGGGGGGGGGGGGGGGGGGGGGGGGGGGGGGGGGGGGGGGGGGGGGGGGGGGGGGGGGGGGGGGGGGTGGGGGGGGGGAGGAGGGGGGTAATTCGTTTCTCTCTTTTTTCTAAGAATTATTTACCATAACAACCTTGACTAATGACAGATTTCACGAACATGCATTCTACAGTAATCAATGTTTCTAAGATGAATACAAAACGTCAGTGGCGGATCCCCCGGGCCCCCCCCCCCCTTGAGAAAAAAATAATGTAAAATTCATGAAATGCATTGATTTTGAGTAAATAAGTGTTTAAAATCAATGCAAAGAATTAAAGAGAAGCGGCATGTGGATGGGGATAATGTAATGCATATACTATGAATTTATGAAAAAAAAATTCATTTGAACCCCCCCCCCTGGCGCTCAAGGGGGGGGGGTGCAAATTGAATTTTTTTTTTGAGGATCAAAACCCCCCCCCCCCCCCCCCCCCCCCCCCCCCCCCACTGAGCGAATTTTTTGGCTGGCGCGTTTTTCAAATTTTCGGGAGCAAAAAAAAAAAAAAAAAAAATTGTGCTCTGTACCCCCCCCCCCCCCCCCCCCCCCCCCCCCCCCCCCCCCCCCCCCCCCCCCCCCCACTGAGCGACTTTTCGGCCGGCGCGATTTTCAAATTTTCGGGAGCAAAAAAAAAAAAAATTGGGCCCCCTCCCCTAAGAAATCCTGGATCCGCGCCTGCAAAACGTCACACACAAATGTTTTCGTCTGAGTACTAAAAAGATGATTTGTTGACTATAGACGTGGGTATCTGTTCTTTGTTTGAATTCGGTTTTTAGGCTGTTGACAAAAACACTGTATTTGCAGTTATGCTTAAGCAAATTCAATAGAAGAGTAACGTAATGTTGCTGATACGGTTGCGGTATTGTACAGGGGATGCCTCATATATGGAATAACATTCATGTACTTTACACATTTAATGTTTAAGTAAATATCTGACGTTGAATTCTTAGTAACTGATTATCGGATTCAGAATAATTTCAGAAACACTCTTTGGTATTTATGGCGCGTGAAATTAACGGCAATGGGGAAAACTGTGCAACAAGAATGAAAATGATCATTATTGTATTTCGATGAATCATTTTTACTCTTATATCCACGCAACTTGTTTTATATATATATTTCGATTGACTATATACTCTCTTCCTTTCAATATGATGTTGTATTTTGTAGTATATTGTATTTTCTGTTTATCAACTGCGAGAATTAAAACTGAGTAAATAATTTAAAAATTCTTATGAAAATCATGATTCAACAGAAACCTTGGATAAAGTTTATCATGCAGCCTAGACATGGCTAGTGGAGTCTACTGTAGGCCTATACTAAATTTTGTTAAACCCGTTATTACAAAGCTTTAACAAAAACAAGATTTGTAGCCTTCGGCTTTGCTCTTCGGAAACATTTTTATGGTTTAAGTAGTCAATCGTGAACTTCGTGGACTCATTTACTGCACACTTTAAATGTGATATAGGTCTTGTCAAACATGCATGTCTTTGCAGTCGCCTTCTATAAATGTTACCAGGCGGTTAAAAAAATAACTCTCTCCTCTATACAGGAACAAACATTTCGGAAATAAAATTGCGTAGCCATATTACGTGAAAATGGGGGAGGGAGAGAGAGGAAAAGAGAGGGGGATTATTTTCCTTTACCTCATTCTCCAAGACTAGACATTTTCCCCATGATAATTATTGCTTGCGTCACCTGTAGGGTATATGGGTACATTATTTCTAGAACACGTTTAATTATACCCTCTGTTTTTAAGTAGGTAACTATATTCTTTATCTTTATACTCTACTTGTCATCTCATAAACTTGATATCAGTATATTTAGAGGGAACTCATAATCAGACCAAAAGGTCATGATAATGATAACTCGCAGGCGGTAGGCGTTAATACATGCATTAATTAATTACTGTGACTCAAGGAGAGATAAGGATTACCCGGAAAGTACAGTTATCACGAAATGTACACACAAATATATATAATATATCATATATTATATTATACTGTATATGAAGATATTCCCTCTCCTCTCTCTCTCTCTCTCTCTCTCTCTCTCTCTCTCTCTCTCTCTCTCTCTTGTAAACTGGCCCCATGGAAGACCAGCAGCAACAATTATAGTTGCAGCTGAATATGGGCTACCAGCCGTATACGGTCCCTTTTTCTCTGTATGATTATTTTATATGTATTTGTATCTGATTTTATTATACGGAAATAAAAACAACAAACAACAACATCTCTCTCTCTCTCTCTCTCTCTCTCTCTCTCTCTCTCTCTCTCATTCTCCCCCCCCCCCCCCCCTCCCTCCCATGTCCTCCGCATTTCTCTTACCTCGGGTTCTGCTACCGTAAAGGCTGAGTTTACAGCTGTAAACGTCCCTTCTGTTGACATACTCCAAGATGACAGGTCAGTACAACGAAAGAACAAAGTACAACGAAAGAACAAAGGACGGCAATATTCCTTTCTTGTGAAATCTTCAGAAAATTTGTACTTTTGAACGGAGTACAGCGAAATAATCTTAACCATGCACCAGCTCACAACGGTAATAAATCTGGAAAATAATGTCACACTATAATTATAGCGAACAACTCCTCAAAACACCAATTTCAGATGTCAATGCAGTTCGAAATCACGCACACTCGCTTCCGACAATGTCAAACTGTGAAATGACTCGTTTGACTGCACTCAGAAACTATTTTTTAAAGTACCCTGAATGAACCTGAGAAATAAAGCTCGGATATTGTGCGCAAGTTGTCGACTGCAACCTCGGGTTTCGATCAGTTTCGGATTGAAATGCAGCGAAATATTTGTGAAAAGGGAGGGTGGGGCAGAGATGGCTAAGGCAGTGGCGTCGAAAGAAGGTGCGCGGGCCACTTGTCTACACCCCCCCCCCCTCTTCACATGTAGAAAGGGGGTATAAATGATGACTATGGTAATATTGATAATGATGATGATAATAGTCTGATACAAATAATATTAATAATAACAATAGACTGTATTTATAAAGCGCACATCACCGCTAATGTTAATGTGCAGCTGAGTCTGAAATAAAGTTCTGAATTGAATTGAATTGTTAATAAATGTTGGGGTCCAGGGTAAGCAGGGTTGGTGTACAATCCTCACTGGATGAGGCCGTATGTAGGCTATCTTTCACACGAGAGAGAGAGAGAGAGAGAGAGAGAGAGAGAGAGAGAGGGGGTTGATGGCAGAAGAGAGAGGAGAGAGAAACAGAGAGAGAGAGAGAGAGAGAGAGGGGGTGGAAAAAGAGAGATGAGAGAGAAACAGAGAGAGACAGAGAGAGACAGAGAGACAGAGAGAGAGAAACAGAGAGAGAGACAGAGACATAGAGAGAGAGAGAGAGAGAGAGAGAGAGAGAGAGAGAGAGAAAGAATCCCTGCACTGTAGAACGCCCTCATCATAATATGAATGCATTCGATTTCGCGGAGGTCAATGGGGCTCAAACTGTAGCAATCTTGATTTATTGAGAGATATTAAGATCCGATAACGTCTCTACAATGTCGTCTCAAATTATACAATGGAAATAATATCTGTAAGCCAAAAGAAAATAGGTCCAGTCCCTCACAATAGAAAGAATTCTGTAGCAAATCTAAAAGAGGCATCAATTGACTTGATTATGTTTCTGTATGACAGCATCTATCACGTATCAACAAGTATTTTAATCCTCCATAATAGCACAACAAACTGTCAAACGTCATAAGTATCAATGGAAATAGAATGACCGATTCGCTACTTGCTGGCAATAAGAAGTTTTGTGTATAATAGGCCTATATTTTTTTTTTTTATATAAGAGTGTTCTTTCTTTTTTCGTTTATAATTATTTCAATTTCTAATACGTTCCAAGCTTTAGACGTGTCATTCTCACTCAATTATGTCGTTTCTCAAATCAATGTCATTCTTTTTGGCTCTAATAAGTCGTCATTTATGTGAAGTAAATATTAGGCCAACTGTATTTGTTACTTCCTTATTATAGTGGTGACCTATTTCTCAAACATTCTTTGTTGATTCATCTTTACGGGGATTGCACTTATTATTTTGGTCTTATTGTCTCGTATTTTCATTGGATGCCAGTGAATACGCCGTGATCGTTAAAGACCCACGTTAATCTTGATAGCAAGAATTATCTTATCACAGTAGTATAGATTACAGATTCGACAGATTGAAAATTTATAAGTGTTTTTCACAGATTTCGAGATTTTGCTGGTTGCGGTTGAATACTGGGCCCTACTGGTCTACGGTTTGATATACTTGACTGCAGCTCCGGAAAATGTCCTCTAATTGGGAGGACATTCCCACGCCCCTCTTATTGTTTCTGATAAGCAAATCAATATTTACTAAAGAATTGGGACATAAACTATTCAAGTGCCAAAGGGGGTCATCCCACAAACAAACCCAAAACCATTCAGGGTGGTGGGAACGTGAGGGTTGAGCATATAAACCTGTGGCGCTATAGGGGATTGTTAGCGAAGGTCCCATGATGCACCTGACTTAGCATTTGATTGACGCGTTCCATAGAAGTTGTTAACATTTCTGACTGTGTATAATTATTGAGATTATGATTGCCACAAAAAAACACAAATTTGTCACGTTTAGTGTGATTAAATAGGTCTATTGTACCCGTTCAATAGACCGGAAAAATAAATAGCGAATATTTGCTAGTTACACAGTGCAGGCGTCATTACAATATTCGGCCCTTTCATATTTCAATTCAATTCAATGTATTACATATATATATCTAATGTATTTATTTGTCCAATGTACTTTCAACGTGGATATTACTGTCAGTTATGTAAGTCCCCTAGTTGATAAACATAGTAGCATACACATGCTTTAGCAAAACAAACACTCGGAAATTATTATTCAATAACATCTGAGAATGTACGATATTATCTAGATCATTTAGGAATAAATCATTGTCAAAATCATTCCATAAATTGGGGTAAAACAAAAAATATTCAACCTTTATGACCAACAGTGTATAAACCGAGGGGCAAAGTCAGAAAAGAGGAGTTTACCTGCCACTACCTCACAAACTAAGTACACCTTGTTCATTCGAAAGATTTCATCATAATACACAGTATGTCAGAGGTGTTGTTGTTTAATTTGTAACGAACACCCCTAAATCGAAGGGGGTGTCCAAAAAAAGAGGCCCTTTTGATGAAAAATAGTATTTTGTGAATAACATTTTAAGAAAACCTTAAACCATTATGAATTTGGTGTCATATGAAAGAAAATTAAATTATTTACATTTTTATACCAATAGCAATGGAATTGGGATTAATTAACATCGACAATTTAAGTAAAAACATGATATTTTTCGAAATATTGAATTTAATCAAAAACTGTTATTTCCATATATCAAAATTGGAGAAGTGCCTTTTGTAAATTTCCAGGAATTTGCCAATGTACAAGGACAATGTCATGTGCAAAGGAAAGGCTTATATCTCTGTTCAGTGAAAAGTTAAAGTAACCTAAAGTTATTGATTTGATTTCCACAAAAACAACATTTTTGCCCACATGCCACGTGTATTAGTGTATTGAGGACGTGTTTGGTGTGTTCACATCGAATTTTAAAGATAACTTTTAATTAAGTAATGACCATGGATTTGGTCTCAAAAGATCGATAATTGAAGTACCTTAAAGTACTCAATTTCATTGAGTCATGTAGTGTGTGAAATATAAATTTGAGCCGAAAAGATGCTTTTTGGAGATATCTTTTCCCTCTGATTTTGGCCAGTATCTCGGTATATTAACTTGACATATTGATTGGACATTTTGTAGTGCAGAAAGTTCAAAGGATTTGGAGTGCTGAATGCAATTGATTTTGTTCTGTACTCTGTGATGTTTCATGTAGGCATTTGCAGTCCCCCACCCCCCTCAGGCTCGCGACAAAGGCGGACCCCATGGACCCCATCCGTAAAGATAGAAGTTGTTCCCAAGACAACCTTTTATTGTATACAATAACTTGGAGAGAGTGTGAGTTTTTTTACAGTTAAAGTTAAAAAAACACTCCCGTTGACCTTTTATTCTTTACACAATTTCTTGCTGGCTGCTGCTTCGAGATCACTTGAGCGAAGAAAGATAGCAATGTATAGCTAGAATCCATATTCAGTAAACTAAGGATTAATCCTTTTAATGCAAATGGTTCTTTAACTATCTTGACCAGAAGTGCCTTTCAAGCTCAATAATCGGGGCATCATCCGATTGAACGTTGTGGCCAATATTATGGGCGTTTTCTACTCCTGATTGAGATGGAATGCCTCATCTGAGGACTCTTTAAAAAGAGCAAATAATAAAGACAGTGCAATTTAAATTCCAAGGGATGGATTAAAGTTTTTATCGCTGATGACGGCATCTAGAATTTACTGAATTGCCAAAACTCGAGAGCTTCCAGGGGCTCGCTGGAGCGATGTATAGCTAGAATCCCTATGTGTAGTGAGCACATTTTTTTAAATTTTATTTATTTATTTTTTTTTTTTGGGGGGGGGGGGAGGGGGTCCTCGAAAATTTAAAAATTTGCATCCCCCCCCTTGAGCGTCAGGGGGAGGGACCCAACCCCCCAAAAAGGTAAAAATCACATGTTTTTACATGATTTTTTTTTCTCAAGGGGGGGGGGGGCCGGGCCCCCCGGCCCCCCCCCCCCTGGATCCGCCACTGCATGGCATCAGGGGCCCTAAGGCGGACCCCATGGACCCCATCCGTAAAGATAGAAGTGGTTACCGATACCACCTGCTGTTGTATAAAATTGTTTTTTAGGAGAAAGTGTGAGATTCCATAGCTCAAGACTGAATTGCTAAAACCTCAGAGCGTCATGCAAGCTCCGCACCGGAACCTCCGGCAGGGGTTGACTCTGCCAGCCCCCAATCTCTGCCATGTTGTACGGATCATTATAAAGCAAAATATGCCCCAATAAATAATTCATATATAAAAAATATATGTGCTCTGCCTCTTGACCCCATCCAGAAGGGCTAAGTCCCTTCAAAATGTTATTCACAAAATACTATTTTTCGTCAAAACGGCCTCGTTTCTCGACGCCCCCTCCGATTTAGGGGTGTTCGTTACAAATTATTAAAAAAACACCTCTGAAATTTTGTGTATATTATGATAAAATCTTTCGAATGTACAAGGTGTGCTTAGTTTGGGTGGTAGACGCAGGCAACTCAAAAACTAAGCATGATATTTGACTTTGGCCCTAGCTCCGCTTAGTAATATCTTTAAGAAAAATGTAACTGGAGCGATTATGATGTTAGACTTCACTAGGGCATTTGATGTTAATGCTTATGCTTTTTGTAAATAACTCTTTAGAAAAATTGAACTTTGGTCCGTCTTTTCGAAAGTGAGTCGAGATTCTTTACACCAACATTGTAAACTGTAAATAGACGGATATCATAAACGTTTTCAGTCAAGAGAGGGATACGTCAAGGATGTCCCCTCTCAGCATTATTGTTCATTTTGGCAGCTGCATTTATGGCTTATAGAGTAAGGAAAATAATATCATTCAATAATTTATTTTTAAAGGAAAAGTTGAATTCTACACAAAATAATTTTTTGTGAGATAATGAAAAACTGATTGTCAAATTTGAAAGAACATAATATTTAAATGACAAAACCAACTTTGTTTGATCAAAATCGGTTCAGAGACGGCTGAAATATAACGATGTGTAATACTTATGTACCACCACAAATATTAGGTATTTTGAAAAAATTGAAAA